TTCTTTGGCAAGAAGCCATGTTCCCAGCCATAGCTCGTATATGTGTGTGTACTATGTTAAACCACATAAATTGCCTATTTTTGACTGTCTTTGGCCTACAAGACAATTTCATGGTTCAATGTGATATGTCCACAGTTTTATCCTGTAATTTAAAGACTTGATGGATATAAGGCTAACTCGTTGATATCATATATGTGATATGACTGTGTCAGTTGTTGATTTTTTATTTTCATTCTCTGTATGAACGGATTAGATTAAAGATGGAGGAATGCTTATAAGGAATAAAAGAAAGATTAAAGAAATGCACACGCTGTCTATATGACCCTTTCCAGAGAGTGTTCTAGCCTGTCTGCATATACAGTAGGTTAAAATATCGGGACATTTCTCTCTAATATACAGGGAATTCATCTTCTAGCCTGAAAGTATCCTGATTATGTAAGAGGTTAGTTCAAATTACTGATTTATGTTTTCAGAATGAAAGAAGTAATAACCAGTCTTTCTCCCCTTGTAGAATGAAGATATACTTGATAACTGGATGAAAGATTCACTTTTACCAGAGCTGATACTTGAGAGTGCCAGGCTCGGGGTTTTGGGCTTTGTGTGTAACCCATCCAAAAGAACAAATGAATGATTTTCATTACATTTGCAAATCTAATGCATTTAGCACTGTTCAAAGGGCTCTTTTAGAGATATGTGAAAGAAACAAGCAGAAAAGTTAATGAACTTGAATGCAACTGGGTAAATGTTTCAGTCATCAAAGTATTTTTGCTGAATGCCCTGTTCTAGGCAGCCTGTGCTAGGTGGTAAGGGAGTACAAGAAAGAATAGTTGAAGCTCCTTAAAGTCTACTGGAGTCAATGGAAGTGTTCCTAAGTGTAAAATAAGGTAGAAAAGAAATACATTCTGTAGCTTCAATTGGAAGCATTATCTTTGCATCATGGCAGTATTAGTACATTCTCTTTCTTCCTTCTGTCTACTTTCCAAAGTTTAATATTCTACTTAGAAATCATGTTGATGGACTTGAATCTCTTGTCAAAAATGATTAACAGCTTCATGGTCCCATATCTACTGTGAAACTTTCTGTTAGAGATTACTATTAGTTGATAACTGATACTACTACCTTTGCTGGAAATTGAGCAGTATTACAGTTGACATATACTTTGAAGTATATTTCTTGGTGTGACTCAGAAGAGGTATAGCCTCACAGTCAGGATTTAATAGAGTGACTAGGGAAATAAATGGTGGTATGTAACAGATATGTTCAGCCTCAGAGTTGTCAGCAGACTGGGAAGTTTGCTAAGCTTTGGAAAATAAATTTCTCATTAGAGAATTTGGATGATCTTGTTTGAAGCCAGGAACAGTATATTTCGGTGCTACTTGTCTCCTACAAAGTTCTCAAGTCATGACCCTCAAATAGACCTCTTCTTTTCTGAAATTGTTTTTCTACTGGGCATCTGCGGCATTTGGCATGAAGTGCTGGAGAGTTCATGTAACACCAGGCTACCTTGCTGATGAACACTTTGCCCATGGTGCCTGCTATGAGTGAAATTAATTAGGCTTGTGCTATCCTACTCAATTTCCCTCTCAGCAGGTTGTGTGATTAGAGCTCCTCAGAGTCTAAAGCTGATTCTCCAGTTCTACTGGATGCTGGGTTGGACATTTTTTAAAAATTGAAAGATGGGTGATATTATTAAAAAAAAAAAAGACTTGGCTACAAAATAAGTAAGAAGCAAAAAAGATAGGGGAGAATGACTAAGACCAAAGTTATATCTTAGGCCTAGAGAATTCTTAAATTGTTAATTGTGGGGTAAATTTGAAGTATTTTTTTAAACTTCAAAATAAACTCAAATTAGTATTTTAAGATTGATCAGTGTAGAGCTGAGCCTGCACCTCATACCTGCAGAGTCAAGTTTTATGCTCCTAACTAACATGCAAAATTTACATCTTCATTGCCAACCTGCCCAAAAGGAAGTTTTCATTAGGAATTTTGAAATTTCATTCTGGCCCCTCCTGGCAGTAATGGTAACTGGGATTTGTAAAACTGCCTAAGCTACATTTACTCACTACTAGACAAATAAACAGTTCTGTGAGAATGTGTTTTCCATCAAATGTAAGCCCACGTCAGTCACAGGGCTCTTTTCTTGATATTATCGTGGAATCCTGAATTGCACAAACCAGGGAAGCCTAAATGCTGTTACAGTGCTTAGTTTGCTAGCTTAAGTGAAATAGCACATCATATTTATAAGATTGTTAACTTCATCTGTGATTGCATGGGATGCTTTAATTATAAATGCATGTAGGGTAATGTTTAAAACCAATGGGGGCTCTGGTAATACCCATGGTATTACTCTGTGAGGGTGCAACTATATCCTTAATCTTCCTCCATGCTTATGACTTACGTGGCCAGTGAATGTGTGAGTTGAGTGATTTTTGTTGTTGTTTTTATTTATTTTTACCTCTTTCTACAAAGGATTTGAGGCACTTTCCAGAAATGCTTAACATATCAAAAAGTAAAATAAACAATTGAGGGAATTAAAACAGTGAATAACAATGTTAAGAAAATAATAAAACCATAATAGAATGATCATATGAGTCTGTGTAGAATATTCGCATATAGAATGAGTATATGAGCCTATAGTTTCAAGAGTTGGGTCACAGATTTGCCTCCAAGTAGCCAAGCGGAGAGGGCAACATGATCAATTACAAGATTCATATTGTCTGTCCATAATTAAAACAGTGAATAACAATGTTAAGAAAATAATAAAACCATAATAGAATGATCATATGAGTCTGTGTAGAATATTCGCATATAGAATGAGTATATGAGCCTATAGTTTCAAGAGTTGGGTCACAGATTTGCCTCCAAGTAGCCAAGCGGAGAGGGCAACATGATCAATTACAAGATTCATATTGTCTGTCCATAGCTGAAAGCAAACCAGGTGTTCAGGAAAGAATTTCTCCCTTGTATACTATAAACCAGACAATGTGTGATAGAATGGAATAAGTACATCCTTACACTTTTCCTACAATTAGTAAAATATATTTTAAAAATAAAGTAGAACAGTACAAAGAGTAGTATACACTAACATAGTTGTCATTTCAAACTAATAGACATTTGTATTGTCATACTGGCTTCAGGTCATCCTAATTTTAAAACAAACATGAGGTCAACTTGAAATGTCTCATGTTCTTTTCCCAGCTTTATTCTTTCTTGCTCTCCAGTCATGAATCTGATACATAGCTTGTCAGTGATTTTTTTCACTTAGTACTCTATGCATACATCTGTAAATAATATATAAACCATAAATTTACGTAAATGATGTACTGCACATGACATTCCAAAACTTTTTTTTCATTAGCATTGTGTTTGATCTCATCTCTTTGGTGCTGTAGATCTAGTTCATTAATTTTAAATCCTGAAATGTTTTTCATTATATGGAAATAACCCAATTTAGTTATCTATTTCCCTCCTAATGGGATTTTTTGTTTGTAACAATGCCACATTGAACGACCTTGCCTGTGTCTGCTTGTGCCCATGTAGTTTTTCTAGGGCAATGGTTTCAAAATGTTCCAGAACCAGCACATCAGAGTCACCTGGGAACTTGTTAGAAATGCAAATTTGGGGGCCCATTCCAAACCTCTGAATCAAAAACTCTGGGGCCCCAGCAATCTGTTTAACAGGTGATCCTGCTGCACCTGAAGTTTGAGGACCACTGTTCTAGTGCATGTATAGTTACAAGTAGGATTACTGAGTCTTGCGTGTACATATGTTCAACTTTATTAGATGTGGCAAACTCCTATCCAAAATATACTTACTAACTTACAGTCTTACCAGCAGTATATGGAGTTCCTACATCCACATAATGGTATGGTTGATTTTTTTTCTTGCTCGTCTCGCAGGTGTAAAATGTTTTAGAGCTATTTTATTTCCTTATTTATGACTGATATTTTTATAGGGTAGTTCACCTTCTTATTTATTTTATAGATACAATTTATATGTCAATTCATATATTAATAAAATTATCTCTGCCATACATTGCATGCTTTTTTTTTTCAGTTTGTTTCTTACTTTGTTCATGGTACTTAAAAGTTGTAACCAAATTCACCAATATTTTGAATGGCTTTTATGTTTAGAAAGGCCTTGGAGGGGAGAATTTTGAGTTGGATTTGATTTGCTACCGGGACACCCTGTTGAGATGTATAGCAGTTATTTGAAAATGGTCTGAGGCTTATGAGAGAAGTCAGAGTTAGAGATTTGGGGAACGTGTATAGCGGCAGAAATTTGATGCTATTGTGGATAAAATTACTGCAAAAGAGAATGTAGATTAAGAAAATGATTGAAGATTAAACCATGGGAACAACAATGAAAGAAGAGAATCCAGTAAAAGAGGTTGAGGAATGATCAGAAAACAGAGAAAGCAAGGCAAAGAATCTGGAAAATCAGATATTGACGAAGTGTAAATGGGGAGAGATCTTTAATGCTACGTCTAAGAAAGGGGTAAGTGTTGCCCTTCCAGAGAGCAGCTACCAGTGGGTTGAGGAATAGAAGACTACTCTTAATAATAAGTTTGCACTGAAGTGTAGGAGAAGATGAGACAGTAGTTGAAAAGGTAACAAGGTCATTTTCCTTTCGGAGTGAAGTGTTTGTACCCCTAGGGAAGAAGCCAGTGGTGAAGTCGTATGCGATATTCACCATGGTCTCCTCTTTAGGAAGCCTTTTCATGGATTTACTTTAAGTACCCTTTGAGTAAATTCACTTGGTAAGATAATATTAACTAGTATTATGTAGATTAAAATAGGGTGATATTGTGAGGAGGAGACAGCTTTAGGTTAGGTTATCCACTCTGAGGTGAACATTGAATACTGAGGAGCCATTTGAATCATAAGAGTAGAGCATTCCACGCTGGAGACAAAGTTTCCAGTCTCTGGAAGGTCACATGGAAGTAGTAGGATAGTATACCATTAATCTAATGAAATCCTCTTGCTTCTTGGGTCAACCAGGGTGAAGAGAGAACAGAAGTCTTTGTCCCCTGACTTTGGAAATCTTGTTTAACCTTCAAACTGGCGATGTCAAGGGTTCCAAGTCCTCCACCTCCGGCAGAAATGTCGAGTGGTCCTGTAGCTGAGAGTTGGTGCTACACACAGGTAGGTGTATCCTGGGAGGATTTTGGTAGATGAAAGGAATCAGATTTCTTTTCTACACTGGGTTTCCTTCTTTCTCTGGGATATGCTTGACAAAGAGATAAAGTACTAGTCAGCTTTCCATTCCTTGGGTATCCACAAAGAATCTGAGTGCCCTCGGCTGCTGTTTTTCACTAGAGGTTGAAAGGGGGGAGTCTTTGAAACTAGATCCACCTACATCCCCCTTGTTGGAAGTGTGTTCCTCTGCTGGGAAACTCCAGGGGAAACCAAGTCTGAGATTTCCAACCCTAGGCTGTGGCATCAACATCTAAATCATCAAACATTACTCTGAACAGAGGTTCATTTTAGGTATGGCTTAGTCATCTGCTTTGCCAGCCTTGTCCATGTTTTCTCACTTTTCACCCAGTGTTTCTCAGAAGTTGAGAAAAGTTATAAAATCAGTTGGTCACTGTGAGATTTCTTAAAATGTGGATGAGGGACAGAAAAGGCTGGGCCTACATGCTGGCCAAGTAGTGCTGTCTCCCTGTGAGATCATGCAGAGAGAGGGAGGGATTTTCTGAACTCCAGCCTGTTTTCCAGGTTCCCCACTTCCTATTTAATTGCTTCCTGGTTTTCTATCAACAGATCAAGGTAGTGAAATTCTCCTACATGTGGACCATCAATAACTTTAGCTTTTGCCGGGAGGAAATGGGTGAAGTCATTAAAAGTTCAACCTTTTCGTCAGGAGCCAATGATAAACTGAAATGGTGAGGAAGAAAACATCTAGCTCTAAACATTTTTCTGCAAGTTGCCTGTTGTTCTTGGTTTCCCAGGAGACTGACTAGAATGTAAGCTCATTGATGGCAGGGACTTTGTTTTGTTCTTAATGTACTCCTCAGTGTCTGATACGTAATAGACAAACTTACTGCATATTTGTTGAATTTGATGAGTATATCAGGGATCAGCAAACTCAAATGGCTGTAGGGTAATGTAAACAAGTGAAGAGGGCCAGTGTTGTAAATAATACCCACACCTGGTGTGAGTGTTGACCACTTGGCAAACTGGGACTAGTGAGCGTCCTTCTAAAAGATGTGGTGTCTGCTCACCTCCAGCTGACTTTAGCTATGTGTAAATAAATGCTAACCATTGCCAGATTTTCTCACTTTTCAAGAAAAGCAAGAAATCTAGATTTTAATGTAAGAATCTCTTGACTTTTAGGTTATCTGTTTTTAAACAATGAAGGAGATTTATTTACTTATGTAACTGGAGCGCCCAGGGTGTGGCTGGGTTTGGAGAGAATTTGATCCAGTAGGCCAGTGGTTAGATTGAGGACCCCATCTGTCTATGCTCTGCCCAGCTCTCCACACTGTTTAACATCTCAAGTCTAGCTTCTCTTGTGATTGAAGAATGACTGTCAATAGCAATGGGCATAACCCACTACCATCCAACAAAAGTGTTTGAACTTTCTTTGAACTAATTGTGTGGCCAAGAGTATGTCATACATGCCCTGATTGGTTTAGGTATAGGTTCCCTCAGTTGATCCCTGTGGCAAGGGCAATAGGATCTGGTAGTAGGTGTCAACCCCATCCAAACCATGTGATCTCCTGAGGAGAGAAGGCAGTGAAGAATACAACCATGTGCTCACTGCAAAGACCAGAATGCGTGTCTGTGAACCACTGTTTTTGACCTCTGATGACCCACTGAAGAGTTTAGCAATTCTCCAGTCATTTAGTATTTCTTGGCCACGTACATTAAGCAGTGTACCACTAGGTTCTGAGAGGAGGCTTATTCTTAGGCATTGTTTTTAAATCCATATCTTCAGCACAACGTACAGCGAGGTATGTGGCATATGCACTTCCTAAAGAAGCACTGAATTGGGCCACCTGTTTGAGAGAGGTGCCGTAACACTGGCAAGGCCTAAGGATACATACGGCCTATGTATTACACGTGGTAGAAGCAGTGTCTGAACCACATGCAGTTCAGCTAATGACATTTACAACTTAACTCAGTTGAACCTATTCCGTCTGAATTTTGTTTTGATCCATTGGTAACAGATTGGCATCTCTGCCTCTATTGAGAAGTCTAGCTTGGAACGCTACCCTGTGTAATGGGGGTTTACTTTTGTCTCTGCTTCCTCCATACTGCCTCCTTTATTTTAATCTTAGAATATTATTGCCAGATTGATAACATATCTATAAAAGATTATTTACTGTTCACATATTTCTCTAGAACTCTTTTTATCTCCCAAAGTGGTATTGAAAGGCTCATCGACTTTTTTTTTCTTCTGCTACAGTCCTAGCAAAATAAGGGGCTGCCTTTCCTGAGACTGAGGATTAGAGTAGACTAAGTCTAGGCTGAATGGTAAAGTATTTTAGGGAGAAAAAGAGTGATTTGGGAGATTATGAGGAAAGAGGCAGAGATACAAGGGATGTGTTGTCAGATTCTAGGATAACCCTTTTTGTTGTTTACTCTTTAAAAGGTGCCTCAGTTTGCTCTAGAACTGTGATTTCCAGAGTAGTCATTTACTGAATCAGAATCTCCTGGTATGGGGCCTGGGTTTTTGTTTTTTGTAAACATCTCCCTCTCTCGATTCTGATGTTCTAGTTCCCACCTGTCATTTCTCAAGCCTACAAACATGGATGCTTTCGACATTTTTTTTCCTGTTTCGGGTAGGTGTTTGCGGGTAAACCCAAAAGGGCTAGATGAAGAAAGCAAAGATTACCTGTCACTTTACCTGTTACTGGTCAGCTGTCCAAAGAGTGAAGTTCGAGCAAAATTCAAATTCTCTATCCTGAATGCCAAGGGAGAAGAAACCAAAGCTATGGGTAAATGCTATCTTTGTTTGACTCTATTTTCACATCTAGCAACTTTATACACTGACATGTTGTAAATTTGGTCTGGTTTTTTGAGTAACCCTAAATATAACTTTTTTTTTTAACCCCAGAGAGTCAACGGGCATATAGATTTGTGCAAGGCAAAGACTGGGGATTCAAGAAATTCATCCGTAGAGATTTTCTCTTAGATGAGGCCAACGGGCTTCTCCCTGATGACAAGCTTACCCTCTTCTGTGAGGTGAGTCCTTTTACTGTGCTGTGCAAGTGGCAGTTCCTAGACCTGACGGTATCCGTAGACTTAATTGTTTGGTATCAAGGACAGAGAGTAAGATCCCCAAGAGGAGTGATGCTGCATGAATGTTATTTATGTGCCTGATTGAAAACTGTCTCATGATTTCAGGGTTGTTGGACATCTCAGCTTTCCACTTGTTGCTCTAAAAAGCAAAGATTGTGCATTGTCCTGGTTATGTGTGATGTTTTAGTTGTTTTGATCAGGCTTCTGGCTTTTTCATTGCAGAAATCTTTTCAGAAAGCATTTAGAAGGACTGTTACTTTAAGCTGAGGAGCCTGGTCAGCAGCTAGATATGTATTTTTGTTCCTTAAGCTTTCTGGCTCCTCCTTGAGTTTGAAGTCCACGTGTGTTTGATAGATCACTTTCCTTTTCTGCTCTTTGAACTGGATGACTGTTACCAGGAGTTGAGTGTCTCCAGTTTGTCTTGCTGGAGTAATTGTGAAATAGGAGGGTGAGAAACATTTTTTCTAGACCGAAGGTTATGTAAAGCTCTCTAATTCATTGTTAGCTAAGAGAGTTATCTGTCAGGAGAGTCCTTCTCTCCCTAGTGAGAGGGTCCCTAAAGAGCCTTTTTCAGGTTTATAGGAGAAACCTTGTAGTAAAATTCCTAAACTGAGAGTGAGTTAGAAAGTAGTTTCTTTAGTAAGTATATACTAATTAGTCATTTCATGCTGTTATCAATACATTTATAACTACTCATAAGCTCACATTGTAAGAAATGAGTAAAACCTCCAGTCAGCCAGGATGTTGGTGTTCCTATACATTACATGGTCAAGGAGCCACTTCCTGAGCAGCATGACTTGATGAGAATGACTGCTGTGCTTTCATGGGGAGGGTGCAGGCAAGTTCCCCAACTGCCGGTGTGCTCTGTCAAATAATAGGGGTGCATCGTGAGTTAACAAGTTAACTCAATAACAGTTCCAAAGGCATGTCACCATCTAGACAGCAGGGAAGCTGCCCCTTAGGAATCTTGCCCTTTCGTGGAAGAGGCCTGGCAAGCAGTAGCTGGCTTCTTTTCCAAGTCACAGCTCGTTGAACATTTCCACAGGATAGTTGCTGGTGCTTCGGAAACTTGGGAGGTCTAGTTTTATTAAAATATCACACTGAATACATAACATATAGTTTGCATAATAGCTACCTTCTCTCTTTTTTAATTGCTAAGTAAAAGAAGGAAATACTAGGGTGATAATGTCTATAAAATACATAAAAGGTTGCAGTTGTTTTTTTTATCTAATGGACTTGGAATTTGAATTCTACATAAATCCAAGTAGATACAGATCACACTCAGTTGCTCAAGTGAAGAAGTGAAAACAGGTGGTTTTGTGTGAGGTTACATGTTATATAAACAAGCCATCAGTTTAATATTCACCCTTCTTAGAGATCCTATATTTCAGAAAAAATTTTAAATAGAATTCTAGTTTCTGTTGGAAACGAAAGCCAGTCTTTGAACTATTCTCTAAAGGAGGAGAAATCACCTCTAAATAATGCATTTGGTGGTTTAGGCAATACCGTAGACTTTTTGCAGCATTTTCAGGTCTGCACTGGGTCGACTTTTCTTATATGCTTCCCCCCACCCCCAAATCCATTCCATCTGCCCCAACCCTTGTGTTGACATTCTTGATTTGGAAACCAATTGGCCTGCCCTCACTTGGCAACCTCTTATCCTGTGGTTAAGTCCGAGGCACTGTCTCCCTTCGCTTCCCCATATGAAATTCTCTTAGGAGAAATCCTGTGGTTAAGTTTAGAAATGCCTTAGTGACTTAGAAGGGAAGTGAGATGACACTTTGGAAATGAGGAGATGTTGAACAGGGAAACGTCTGCTGGGTTCTGCTGATGCCATCGGTTTCTTACCATCGGACCAGGTGTGCCATCTGTTCCTCTCACACTTCTCTGTTGGCCACAGGTGCTGAGTGTTGCTTCTCATTCTTGGGCTTGTGCCTAGTGAGACTCGTTTCTGTTCCAAGACTCTCTGTGGACTTAGTAGCATTCAGCATCGCAAGACAGTTGCGTGGGGGGGGGGGGGGAATGTGTTGGATATGTGGGTTTTTAAAATGTCTGCAGCTCTTCTAAGTTCTTAGCACTTTTCAAAACTAGAGCATTCTTTAGTGCAAATTCTATCCCTTTGACCTTTGATCCCTTCTATCTGGCGGGCTATTTATAAACAAGTTTATTTTGTTTATATTTGTATTTGATTCATTACTGGTTTAGTTAGCATTTTCTTATAATTTAGAGGCTTTTATGAAGTTGATATCCACATACAGGTTTAGGTTATGAGTACTCCACTGTTCTATTCCTTACTCAGCCTTCGGCTTGGGCACTTCTGTCCTGTCCTGATGTAATAAGTACAGTTGTTTTGTAGGTTTGGGGTGTTTTTGTTTTTTGCTGTTCCCAGAGGCCACAAGAGGGAATCCTAAGGTAAAGAATTGAGACTTACACATTTGTGTGTTAGGGCTTTATTTAAGTGGTAATGTTTAGATCACAAACTCTGACAAATGCCAAATGGGTGGTCTTGTTAATACGCCATTTTCAATTCTCAGTGATCTTTTTGTCTGCTAGGAAATGTGGCGAGTCCTCCAGGTTGATATTCCTTAGTTAACATATTTGGAGGCACTTTCAAAGCATTCCCTGAATTGTCTCTTATCACAATCCTTTGAGCTAGGTTGGTTCTCTTCTCTTGATTTCACATTACCGGGGAGAGAAGCAGTGCCTAGAGAGGTCGGGTAATTTTCCCTAGCATTGTGCAGCAGATTAGTGTCAGGGCCATGTCAGCTCTCCGTTTTCCATCTCTAGTCTGCTGTGCTACCATGAGTGGAGCTGAATGCCATTCACCCAAGGAAACATGGGCTCTACCATGTTTTCTTAACAGAGAATTTACTTTGGTAATGAAACAGAGACTCATGAAAGCTTTATACTTCTCATGTTCTCTTTAATAATTTGGACGACAGAAAATCTGCTTGAAATGTTTCAGCTTCTATTGATCTTCTCTCCGTTTATTTATATTGAAAACAGGTAGCAGTTAGCAGTGAAGATGTGTGCATTTCACCTTCAACGCATATGCCTCTGACAGTTAGTAGATTCCAGTGCCTCTTTGTAATGTTGCCCTTAAAGTTCAAATATGAAATACCAAATATGAACTACCTAGACACTAGTTAACTCTTAAAACATCTCTTTCCTTATCAAACATGGAATATCCCTTCATAGCCTGGGAATATATGTATTTTTGCCAAATTTTAAATATGTGTGTCTGTTAGTTTTTTATCACTTTATTAATGGATTATTTGGATATCTTAGTTGCACTGTATGAAAATGCTAATGTTTGATTGTTCCTGACCTACAGAAAGGGTGATTTAATATGTAACATCATTATAGGTTATAAAACACGATAATGTAGTAAACCTACCACCTAGCCCAGCATCACCAGTAACTTTGAACTGACCTGTATATGCTTGTCCCCTATCCCTTAGATCTAATGTCTCCTTACTCAGAGGATGATAATAAATAGCTTTTTTGAATTGTTTGTTATCATTCCCTTATTTATTATCTGTATGACTGAACAAGTATATTGTTTAGGTTTGCTTGTTTTTGAGCTTTATGAAAATGGTGTGAAAATGAATGTAGTCATCCAGGACATGCTGTTTTCACCTTATGTTTCTAAAATTTATATTATGGATGTAACTATAGTTCACTGAATTTTAGTGCTGTGTGATGATGGTCTGTTGTGTATTTACACAACAGTTTTTTGTTTTTGTTTTTTTAATTACTAAAGTACAGTCAGTTACAATGTGTCAGTTTCTGGTGTACAGCACAGTGTCCCAGTCATGCATATACATACGTATATTCAACAACAGTTGATCAGTTTATTCATTCCCTTGCTGATGGACGTTTAGATTGTTGCTAGTCTCTTGATTAGAAATAGTGCTGCTGCCATAGACAATCTGTATACAGTCTGTTTATCTTTTCTTGATTGTTTTAATTATATAGAATTTAGAAATATATTTCCATTGGTTTTATCTTGACTTTTTATGTTTAGACAAAATACACAAGAAATGGCACAATCTTTTATGAAATTTTATATCTTTTATGAAATTTTTTAAGAAAAGGAATTGAGTTTAAAAGTGAGGCCATTTTACAACTTGAAATTTAGAGGGTTATACTGCCTTCCTGAGACATTTTCATGCAGTCATTTCCAAGATGACATAAATGTCACAGTCACGTCATCTTCACAGCTGCAATTCTGAATGAGTCTCTATAGTCAACTTGATAGGCATTAAAAAAATCTTTAGTTTTTCTCAAAATGGTATCGTCTTAGCATCATCATTTGCAGAGGAAAACAATCCCTTTCTAAGTTAAAAGTTTGGGCTCTGAAGACTCATTTGTGAATGCCATTTAAAATTTATTTTTAATTAAGCGTATTTAATGTTGGTAAGAGGTGCCAGACGTTCAGAGCTCTGGAGACTCCAGGCATCCATATATCTGCAGAACAAGCCTGGCTCAGACAGTAAAGGTACATTCTCCTTCCCGCTGTGTTCCTGTCTGTGCCTAGAGAGAGGAATTGCCCCAGTGAGAAGAGTCACAGTCTTTGGGCCTCACTCATTACCAAGTGCACATATAACTAGCACAGGGTTCACTAGTAACAACTGTTTGAAATTTATCTTAGCTCTCGCCAGTTCATTTTACCCCATTTAGTTAATTGTCATCAAGTGTTAATGACTTTGGGCTCCTGTCAACCTGGTTTAATTCAAGCTTAGGAACCCAGTGCCAAAAGCTTTCTCCATTCCCTTCATTGGCCATCCCAAGAGGTTCCTGCCTTTCCCTATGAGGAGGTTGGGTTTAATTGGTCTTTTCCTTGGTTGTTGGTTTTTTTTTTAATCTGCAATATTTTGAAGCTACAGCTGGAAATAGGCACCTTCTACTTTTGATATTAATATTATATCAAAGAAGTGAGGATGTTAATACAAGAAAGTGACTGAACCAAATTAGAGATCTACACAGGACAGTCTCTGTGGGGTGGTTTGTGTTGGGTCCTGAGCTATTAAAATAATGTTATACTCTGGCTCTGATAAATGTGCTACTGTTGCTAAGCACATTCATAATTGATTAACTTGGCTGCTTCATTGCTTAAGACCGTAACAGCTAGTTTTAAACAAATGAATAAACTTCTTGACCTGATAGTAAATATCTGACTCCTACACAGAAGAGGCTGCAGGTCATTTGGATGGGGCATTAACTTTCCCTCTGGGTTTATGACTGCATTTAAGGGATGACTTGCATCTTGAAGGTTAAAAGAGATTTGGGTCATTTAGGATGTTCCTAAGCTATCTTCTTCATCTAACTCATAGGAACAGCAAGAATAGGGAGCTGATTCTCAAGGTTTGTGAATTCTGCTTTGATTTTAATGCTTCAACCTAATATGATGTAGGAGAGGAAACAGCAAGGGTTGTTAAGCAGAAGACTGATCTGTTGGGTCTTTTCTTCAGTCTGGTGATTTACATTTATTTTATAATGTTGTATGGTTTATAAACCCTTTTATTTCATATCCTAGCATATTCATCTCAGTTTCACTGACCCACCCAAAAGTTACCTGGGTTTTTATCTAGACCAAACAGTTAATTCAACCGGTAAAACATGCTGCTGCTTGAAGCCAAGTGGCAAGTTGAATTCCACTCTAAACCCTTTGTAATCATTCTGTTCCAAAGCTGTAATAAGTGCATGTCTAGCTGGAGCCAGTCGTCTTGTATGTCATTGTCACAAATGGCTGAGTGAGGATGTAAGTGTGTGGGATACCCACCCAGTAACCACTATCCAAAATCTTCCAAGCCCAGTCCTGTTCATTAAACTAGCACTTGTGAGGAGGTGCCAAATATTCACCAGGACCTATAGAAGCTGCATTTTATTCTTATGTTCCAGACTTAACTGAAATAAGTGAAGTGCTTTTAGCCTTATTAGATTCTTTTCTCTAGAGAGTTTAATTTAAATGGTAGTTTCTATAGGAGTTCTTTGTAAATAACTTTTTGCTTAAGGCATATTCATAAGGTGAATACTTGAGGTTTAATATTTGTTTCTGTCTGTTTTTTCCCTCTGGTGGTTTGGCCTAGGTTTTCAGGGCAGAGGAGGCAGAGCTTATTAGAAGTTTGGAGGAGAAGGAGATTTGTGGGGCGCTCTCCTCATTGTCCTGAGATGGTGTAGAATAAGTGTGATTGTGATAGTTTGGAAATTATTTGATCTGGAGGATAAAGCCTTGATTTGTGGAGGTGGTTTCAAGAGAATATGACTAACATCAGTATCTGAATGTATTGTAACAACAAGGTAAAACTCATCTCTCCTCCTGCTGGGAAGAAAAATCCTGGTAACAAGAGCTTTGGATTGTGTTTTCTTGTCTTTCACAGGTGAGTGTGGTGCAAGATTCCGTCAACATTTCTGGCCAGAATACCATGAATATGGTGAAGGTTCCTGAGTGCCGATTGGCAGATGAGTTAGGAGGACTGTGGGAGAATTCCCGGTTCACAGACTGTTGTTTGTGTGTTGCTGGTCAGGAATTCCAGGCTCACAAAGCTATCTTAGCAGGTTGGTATTTATTCCTGGGGAGCTTTAGTTTTGGTTAAACAAGGAAAAACAGTGGGTGCATAATCATCTTTTGAATAACTTCAACTTTTTGAACTAGTACAGAAAAACTACTACTAAACATTTTTATATTGTAGTGATATTAGTTATCATAACCAAAAATTCTACACTCCATAAAAGTGGTACTTCTGTTTTTTTCTGTCTATAGTGGACTTAGACCACCATTTTCAAGGAGTGGATGATGACATGTATTTAATGCCTTTGCACCTAGAGATCAGAATTTAAAATCCTGATTAAGAGCAGGTTAACAGCCCCTAGACAGGGACTTAGGATGTAATGGAGAGGATTCTGGACTCAGGACTAAACCATCACGTAGCCAAGTCCCCAGCGCTGGAGGTCTTAGCCCTCTTTTCCATACAAATGTATTAGAAGATTGAAAATGTTGCCAGTAACATGGAAGATCACACCTTGTTCTAGTAATAGGCCCTTAGTCTTTAAGACCAGAGAGGTTGCACACAGGAGGAAGTGATAAGGCAGGACTGAGAGCCTTACCTCACATGAAAGCATAGTATTCAGCCATGAGACGTAAGGGGAAACTACATGAACCTTCAGGCAACAACACATTCCTTACCAAGACCCTCAGCTCCGTCATTCTAAAGCACTTACCGTTCCCTCTCTCATGTAGGTGTTACTGACTATTGCTAAAGGAAGTCATTAACTCTTAGGTTAGTGTCTCCATGCCCAGCGAGGCCCTCAGCGCTGCTGAGAACTCTTTCTGCAGATATATAGTCAGCTCCCTTTCTTTTTCTCAATAATAGATACTTCAAACCTTTGCCACTCTCCACCTCCCAAAAATGGCCCTGCTACTCTTCCACGAGAAAACCAAGGCCCTTCTCCCTCAGTGCCTGCCTCTCACCTCGCCTGCTTCTCCCTGCATTCTAGCGGAGGAGTTCTTCCTCGTGTCCAGAGCAGACTGTGCTTTCTGCTTCTGTTTCACGTCTCACGCTGCCTTCTCAGAAGTCTTACTCTGCCCGTTACACCCTTGTCATCTCTCTTTCTCCTGTTGCCTGTTTACCCTCAGCCTGCAAGCTTTTCCCCCTGGTTATTGTCTCTTTTCTTTCAGAACTAAATTTCTTGATTTGGCATATTCTCCCTCTCTATAACCTTTCCTCCCGCTTATCAACTCAGTTTGCCTTCATGCTACAGAAGCAGTTTTCCAAAGTTATATAACCTGCTGGTTCGTAAACTTGAGGGACTCTTTAGGTCATACGTTATTTGACTCCTTTCTTCTGGTCCTCTGGCTGCTTCTAGTGTGTGGCCTCCCTCTTCTTCTCCCATCCCTTTAAACACTGGTGTTCCCTGAGGGTTGCCTCCGTTCTCTTTTCACTCTGCTTATTATCCTAGGTGATTTTATTTATTTTCATAACATCAGCTTCTATCTGTGCACTGAACCCTCTAAGCATATTGCTACTTTAGACCCTTCCCTCTTTGTTAAAAACACCAGCCTTTTATTTTTATTTTTTATTGACTTGTAGATACTGTACGATACTGTGTAAGTTGCAGGCATACAATATGCACCAGCCCTTTAGTCTTCAGCTTCTGTAATGTATAACCCTTCTGAGGGAAGAACAATGAGAATTGATATCCTTTTGGAATAGATGAAAATATTGAGGCTCAGAGGGTTAAGTGATTTACCCAAGATTATGTGGTTAGAAGATGGCAGATCTAAAATTAGTCTTTTCTTACATCAACTAGGTCAAAGTTCCAGCTACCTGTTGGCTCAAACTCCTACTATGTGTTCCATCTGTTCTCCCTCTCAGGTAGAGATTGGTAGTCTCAACTTTTACCAAAACCCCTGATTTATTGGGCAGCATGATAAAATTTGAGTTCATAGCCATGTTGTTAATTTCATGGTTGAAATTAAGTTTACTTATTTTTCATAGTGTTCGTTAGACTAGAATGGGCATGGCTTAGAATAACGTCCTTTCATTAGTCCCACCCCAGGGAAAAAAGTTAAGAGATGTTAAATACTAAGGAACGAGAATTTGTCAGGTAGCATTGAGCTTTGAAGGGCCACAGGTGATTAGGATATCTCACTGTTTTCGCCTCCTGGGGGCGTTATCATCTCTGTTGATAATATGGGGCGTGGAGGAACGGAGAGCCTGCCGTAAACAACCCTGCACTTCATCTAGTTTAGTGGATGCCACTGAGCCCTGTTCTTGACCTCCTTGCTGTGTGGTCCCTGGAAGTGCAGAGAGTAGGTGTCATTGTTCTAGGCAAAAATGCAAATATTAGGACACCCTTCATAGACCATGAAGGACCTTTCATTCGAGCCCCCAGATCTACCCAGAGGATACCATTGTCATCTGACATAGGTACTTTGAGTAATTTTCTTGAAAGATGAATGCTTGGAATGGAACCAATATGAAATTATTTTGAAAGGAGTGATTTCTTTTTTCTCCCATATGTATTATAATTATTCACTTATCAGTAAATATAAAAAGAAAGGAATTTTCCAATTCTGGTATAATTTGATATAAAATACCATTTCTGTAGCAATGGGCCAGGAAAGAAAATGATCTCTTCTTCATAACAGAACCAAGAGATTTTGGTGTGATAACCCTGTCTGTCCTGTTTCCTTTTCACTTTGTAGCTCGTTCCCCAGTTTTTAGTGCCATGTTTGAACATGAAATGGAAGAGAGCAAAAAGGTATGTTAACAGAATGGAGATGTGTCTTTTTAGCTAAGTGACTAGAATCAGATGATTTCCCAATTTGGCAGCAAATTTATTTTCCTGACCATTTTTTTCTTTATTGTACTATTAAAATGGAGTATAGTTCTCTGACAGACACTTCCTGAGAGCAGAGAGAAGTGGTCTGGAAGCCACCATTCTAGGTAAAGCAGACTCACTATTCTAGGCAGATCATCTATACAGTCTTGGGTGAGGATATTAGACATGTTTCTACTCAGGAAAAGAACGGTGAAAAATCAAAGTTATAGTTGTCTTGCTGTTGTACTAAAGAAAACAAAAGTGGTATGTAGGATGGGAGAAAAGGCTATTATAATCAAATAGGGCAAAGAGAAATTTTCCATTCATATTAGGTTTAAAATGATACAGGCTCCTCTTCACTAGAGCTTAAAATCACGAAAATCGTTTAGGGATTTTGTTCTTTGGCATGTTTCTCATTTTTAATTTTTCTGGCATAGAATCGGGTTGAAATCAATGATGTGGAGCCTGAAGTTTTTAAGGAAATGATGTGCTTCATTTATACGGGGAAGGCTCCGAACCTCGACAAAATGGCTGATGATTTGCTGGCAGCTGCCGACAAGGTGAGATAAGAGCAGAAAAATAACTACGAAACTGGGGGGTTTTGTGACCTCTTGAGTTTCACAACAGGGTTTCTATGTTGCTTTGTGGGTGAGATGAACGTGTATCTTAGTTTGGCCAGAACAGTCCTGGTTAACATTTGTGTTCCAACGCAGTTATTAATAGCACCCTTTGTATTTTCAAAAGTGTCCTGCTTTGAATGGTAAATTATATGGTCACCCTAAATATGAAAAAGAAGGGTAAGTTTGATGTTTACCTCTCTTCTCTTCACCATCTCAAATTTAACCACAGTTACATTAAAGATTTAGATAATACTAACATTTGGATTTATAATTTATAATTTGGCTTTATAATTTACAGAATGTTCTTGAGTTCATTAACTTTTTAAACTTTGTCAATAAGTGAATGACTTTAAACTTTGTCAATAAGAGAATGACTTTTACCGAGTGTCCTGGTTATTAGCATTTTCAGCTTTTACCTAAGAAGTTATTGAAATATGCCACATTCAATATTGTAAGATGGTGACTAGCTCTCTGGGAAAGAGAGGTGCTGCTGCAGTAAGTGTATACTTTGACTGAGACACTTTTCAACTTGAGAAATGTTAAAGTGTGAAAATAAAAATGTGGGTCTTAGACTCAAGGAAAAATGGTGATTACCTAAAACAACAGGCCAGGGATTCCCAAAGTAAGGTTGAGGGGAAGAGGTTAATGAAACACTGAGTTTAGCCAAGGCAAATTGGGGTTTTTGTGTCGCTCTTTTACAGCAGGATTTCTGAGAACCATTAGTGTTATCAGTGTGCACTGAGTTTCCTAGAAGAGAATATGATAGACCAATTTCTCCTATTTAAGTAATCCTGGAATCACTTTTCTCAGGGATCACCTCCAGGGATTAGTGTTCCCCAAATCACACTTTAGGAAACTGACTTTCATTATGTGGGTTCACCAGAAGAGGTCAGTGACCTGTTCCTCCAAGGCCCTGTGATCTGAGGAGACACAGCTTGGGGGTGGGGAGGGTGAAAGGATTGCTATTTATGCCATGGAATCTTTCTTACGTTGGGGAGCAGTTGAGGCAAGGGGGTTAAAGGGCTTAAACCCAGTCAGCAGTAGACCCTGTGAGGAAGATGGTTCTCTGCTGGAGGTGCCTCCTCTTCCCACCGTGATGCTGCAGCCCACATCTGCGGGTCAAAGCTGGCTCTGAACTAAGGGCACCAGAGCCTTCCTGAGATTCGCCCCCAGGAGTAGTCTCCTTCCTCCTCCCTTTGCACCCCTGAGGAGGGGGAAAGTATCTGTGTTTACAGTGGAGGTTTTATCTTTATTGATCAGCTTTTTGGAGTGTTTGTAGAGGATGAGGCATGTAAACCCAGTCAGTGCTACAGTGCTACAGGTGAAAAGGATTGAATGATAGCTGTGTCCTTTTATCACCTTTCAGGACTTTATTAGTACAGTGAAGCAAAGCGAACATCCTACACACTTCCAGTCTAGCTCAGTTCTGACACAGTAAAGTTGGTTTCAGTGGAGACAGTAAGAAAAATCTCACTGCGAATTCCGAGGAAGTAGAAGACACAGCCTAATGCTTGCTTTTTATAAACATGAGTTTATAATGATTCTGCCTCATCCCGCTGTCTGATTTTCAGTGAAGCAGTCACTTGTAATTATGCATACCAGGCATTTATCCGCCTCGTCTTCTAGCTCCCATAAGGATGAGTAGTACCATAAGGTCCAGTTTTCAGACAGAAATAGTAAGGCTCAGAGTTGGGTCGTCTCAGAGCCAGGGCTAAACACTGCTCCTCAGAGAACCTGCTGAGAACCTACTGTACGTACACAGTATGGGGACCAGCCTGAACTGACATTCCAGGGATGGTATTTTTCAGTACAATGTCTTAACTTACTTTTTAAAAGATGTAGCATGTGAATCACAATAGTGCTTTAAATTTATGAATGAGAAGTAACTGAAGGGCGCATTTTCAAATTCCATTCAGAATTTCCCGTTAGTCTTTGCTGTAAGCTTATTTGAAACATTTTTACCTTTACACCTTTTGGTGAGCTTCAGGAAAACAGAACAAGAAATTTTTTATGGAAGGATCTAAACATCTAGAATTCACCCAAGAGGCTAAAACAGCTTCTTCTGAGCTTTTCCAGTCTCCTGGGGACATGCGTAATTAGACCAAAAACAAAACAAAACACATTGCCCAGGCCTGGGTGACACAGTTTCAATCTCTGGGGTAAGTACTGCCATTAGACAGGTTTTTCAGAAGCATAATTAAGAAAAAAAACTTTGTCCCCAAGGGAGAAAAATGGCTACTTTTGTCTAATTATGCAGTAGGGATCAGAGCTATTCGCAGTAAAAGTCCTTTTAAAAGAATGAATTGAGAAAAGATAAGATGAATATTCTGTGCAGTGTGGGATAAAGACTGAACATTTACTCAACCTTTTCCAGCCTTTTAAAACAAAAACGGCAGCCTACTTTCTTGCTTGTCTACTGTCATTCCTGTTTTCCATGGAAACTATTTTCCAGTTACTCAAATGTAAAAAAATTAAAGCTGCACCGAAACCAATAAAACTCTCTTTCTGCTGCAGGAGATCGCGGTGCCAGCAGATATGCCTCCTCACCCAGAATTCATAAAAATAAAATTGTCCTGGTTTGAGTGTCATGATTCAGCCTGGAGGAGAATTGTGTCACTGAGTTCTGAGGCTCCCAGGATGGTACCTATACGGAGACTGTGGGCACCCTCAGAGCAGACCCTTCTCCTGTGAACTAATTATGACATTTTATTTTGTGCCTTCTTTTATCCCTTCTTCCTCCTTATCCCTAAAAAGTTACCTAGTAAGTTCATAATATATCTGAGAGCAAGTAGTACAGTTGCGTCAAAACAAATCAGCTAGATCCAATGTGCCCAGTATTAACCTGGACCTTTGTTTCCAGAGCATATAGAACCCTTTACTAGGAAAATAGGAAGTTTTTAGACTGAAACTGGATCCAGGGTCTCTGTTGCTTTGTTCTTTTACTCTAAGAATCCTAACCTCAACGCCAATAAAATCGGTCTCTATTTATCCTTTTCTGTTGAAAAGGAGGCCTTTGGTTGACCCTCATTCAGGAACAACTAGTGGCAGAGATGCTGGTGAAAGTCACCACGGGGCTCCCTTTTACAGCCTGATGGGCAGTTGGAATACCCTGCCGGGCTGGTGACACTAGACAGTGCTTAAGTAGAAAGGACTGTGCTTCACCCTAGTCTGGCTCTAAATAAAAGGACTGCAGAAATTTAGAATGTGATGTCCCTGATGACTTGAAGCAGAGTGATGCCTCATTGTAAGGGTAGGTAGTGACGGTTTAAGAAAACACTTCCATCATAGTCAGGGTAGATAAAACTTGGAGACGTGGATCTGTTCTGTAATTGCTATTTTTCTAATAGACTTTAGCACTTGAATGGCAGCTCTGCAGGTTATTTTAGGTGTCTTCATGTCGGCCTTCAGAGTATGGTTATGTTTTGTAATTGCAGCCGTAGCCTTTTCATGGTCTGTGCAGTTTTGTTCCGGTATCCAGTTACGTGACGGTGCTGCTGAAGAAAACAGCTTCAGTAGCAGTCAGCCCAGAGCCATTCCTGCCCTGACGACAGCAGTGCTTGTGTTTTACAGTATGCCTTGGAGCGTTTAAAGGTCATGTGTGAGGATGCCCTCTGCAGTAACCTCTCCGTGGAGAACGCCGCAGAAATTCTCATCCTGGCTGACCTCCACAGTGCAGATCAGTTGAAAACTCAGGCAGTGGATTTCATCAACTAGTGAGTTGGCATCTTCAAAGTTCTTTCAGTATAGTTGGGAGAGCTAGAAAAATAAATGAGAAAGACTTTGAATTAGTGAGTAAAACAGGCAAGCAGCTTCATTAACCTTTTAGAAGTAAGTAGAGAGTTAATCATTTTTTCCCTTCGGCTTGACAATCTGGAAAATGGTTTTCCTTAACATCAGTCTAATCTGGTTGGTGGGTGAGGTGTTCTACTACCTTGTAGGGTTGGAATTGATGAAAATGATAACTTGCTGGCCTGAAAAAGCTGTGTACCCTAAGATGATAGCACCTTTACTTCACAGTCACTGGCTTAAAAAAAAGACATATAGATGTCTGGGGAACAGAAGTATGATTGTTATGAGTTAATAAAATTGTCCAACAGTCGATTGCAGAATGGAGCAAAGAGAAGGCATAATAAGTCAGTCGATGAGGTCATTAAATACTGTTTTGAGAGAGAAATGTTCATTCCAGTAGATCTGTTCCTTCATCCTGATTGACAAGTGACCTGGCCATATCACTTTCTGAAATAATTCTCAGTGGGATGTGTTCTACTCCTTTGCCTGATGGGGAGTGAAAGTTGGAAAAAGCCCCAGGAGGAGAGCAGGCCTTATGAAGCCCTCACAACAGCACTTCTGGGGTGAGACCGGTCTAAGAGGTTGCACGGTAGATGAGTGAACATTATTCAACACCGAAAATGCCCTGAAACAGGAAACAGTGTCCTCTAAGTCCGTTTGTGAGATTGTTTCGAAGAAGTTACCTATTGAGGCAAAATGTTTCTTTTTATTGGGGGGGGGGTAATTAGGTGGTTTTTTGTTTATTTGGTTTAGTAGAGGTACTGGGGATTGAACCCAGGACCTTTGTGCATGCTAGGCACGCACTCTACCACTGAGCTATACCCTCCCCCACCCCAGGCATAATGTTCCTTGTAGTGAGTGTTCACTCAGTGCTGGACGCTTGCTTGGTGCTTTTTAGATGTTAACCATTCAGTGAAATGTGGTTATTATCCTCTTTTTTGATAATCAAGCAGGCCCCAGGCTATGATCTGCTTTGTGGTTATGGGACTAGTAAATGGCAAAGCCGGACGGCAGCTCAGAGCTGTCTGACCCAGAGAACCCCTCTCTCTCTTCAGTGGCGTCACCAGGGCGTACGTTTAAAGAGCACGGATGATGTACATGAGCCTGAGGAACATGTCATGTTTTGTATTTGAGACTGTAGTGGCTCAGAGTCCTGGTTTGCAGTTACGACAGCCATAACTTGGTCACCTGTCTGCACACTGTCCAACAAACAAATTCTCATGCGTATCAAGGGTTCTGTCTGAGTGTTTCTTGCACTGACACCCGTTACAGCAGACTCTGGGAAATTAGGCTGTTTAGTCCATCCTTCACTCCCCCTTTGGTAACCCGTCTCTCCACATTTCTCCCAGTCATGCTTCAGATGTCTTGGAGACCTCGGGGTGGAAGTCGATGGTGGTGTCGCACCCCCACTTGGTGGCGGAGGCATACCGCTCTCTGGCCTCGGCACAGTGCCCGTTTCTGGGACCCCCGCGCAAGCGCCTGAAGCAGTCCTAAGGTCCTGCCTGTTTTAAGACTCCGTTCGTTTTCCAGAAGCAGCAGCCACCGTTGCTGCACTGACCACCAGGTAGACAGCGCAATCTGTGGAGCTTTTACTCTGTTGTGGGGGGAAAAGACTGCATTGTAGCCCCAGACTTTTAAAACAGCACTAAATAAACTTGGGGGAAATGGGGGTGGGGGAAGGGAAGGGGCCGGGACTCGGGGCTGTTCAACCTAATGAAAACCCTGTTGCTGCGTCACTGTGTTCCCCTGGCCTGGCCGAGTTTGATACTGTGGGGATTCAGCTTAGGCGCTGGCCTTGAGGACATCCCCGCGGTGGTACTTTGGAGAAACCTGTCTGCATCTGACTGAGCAGAACAAATCATCAGGTGCCTGGAGCAAAAAGAAAATTTAAAAAGGACATTTAGTTTTAAGAGAAGGGAAAAGGAAAGAAGAAAGGATTTTTGCAGAATTTCCCAAAAATCAATTTGTGGATTCCAGTACCAGTAGTATTTATGTTGAGAGAAATTTTAGTCCATCCAACTGTGCTAAAACTTGGATATTTGTGAAAACTCCTCACCACCATGCAAGTATCAGAAGAGCTCTCTTGTTAGCACTTATTGTTTGCAAGAACAGCAGACGTCCTGTTATCCTTTTATGAAAAATGACAAGCGGAGGTGAAAGGGGAAGGAGGTTATTTGATCCAGAAGATGAATATTCTGATGTGGTCGCTTTTGCAAAAAAAATCTTTATTGGTGTTGAAAACTGGAAAAAATAATTCATCCAGAATTCATACTGTCTTGACAAGAACTATGGTTCTCTGTTTTTAGATATTGTGGAAAATGTTTTTTGGCATTTTTCTCTGATTTTATTTCTTCTCCCCCCACCCTTTTCTAAAAAAAAACAAAACAAAACACACACACACACACACACACACACAAACAAAAACAGCAAAAAGAAGAGAAAAGGAAATTTTATTAATGCTGTATGAAAAAACTCCCAGCCCAGATTGCTCAGCTGTCCGTACCTGACTTGCCGCCTGCAAAGGAGCCAGTCCTGTTCCTTCCAATTTGCCCCCTTCCTGCAGGGGAGAACTTCCAAATGTTAATTTTTTTTCTTTTTGAAAATATAAATAATTACTATTTTGTACTGTGTGGTATCTCTGGTCTTTTGTTTCACTCACCTGTCTTGTCTTTTGGGTCTGAGTTCTTAAGGGATTTTGAAGGCCTCGTTTGATCCTTGATCTGGCAGAGATTATGCTCGAAATGTCTAGGCAGCAGGGATTTATTGCATCTCCCGAATCTCGAGTTTCCTTTGTGAGCTACCAGCGATCACCAGTCCCTTGTCCTTCTTGAGGCTCTCACAGCCCACATCCTAATGAGGGGTCAGGCTCCTGCTGCCAGCGCAGGTAATGGAATTGGGCTTTGCTGCACCCTACGTGTTTTAAGACCTAACTCCTGATCTCCCTTCTCCTTAGCTAAATATAAAAATATCAAGGGGACATGAATGTGGAGATTCAATAAAGGGAAATTATTCTCTCTGACTGGTTCTGTCACTGACTGGATGTGTTTTCAGAAGAATTAATGTCTGAATTCCCAGTGAGCTCGAAGAATGCTCCGGGGCTTCTCTGCCTTTCCTACAGCAGTGTGGGACAGGACCGTGGGGTACCCTGGCCATGAGGCCAAGGTGTGTATTATTTGACACCTTAGATGGATACTTAAAGTATTTCACCTTCTATTTCCCTTCAGTGACTTTAGCCTTTGCCAGTTTTCCAGTTTTCATTTATCTTGCCATCCCTAGAATGGAGTAGATATGACCCATTATCAATATAATCAAAGACAGGGTTTCCTCATGAGAAGCCACTCCATTGCACTTCTCAGTTTCCTCCTAAGTGTCACCTATGTCAGCAAGTGCCCAGTTCTCCGAGTTCTGGCTGCTGTCCCGGGCCTCCTGAGTCCTCACTTTGCATATCAGCACGGACGTACACAGGGTCTCCTCTGCCCGTATTGTCTCTTAGGTAACTGCATTGATTCTGCACGTCTGGGTTTTCGGCAAACCTTCATACACAGTATCTCATTTGAACTTGCCAACACCTTGATGAGTTTGGTAGGACAAGTGATAGGTAGCTAGCATCTTCCCATCTGATAGATGAGAGAAGTTGAAACTCAGAGGGACATGCATCAGGTCACACAACTCGAGCGACAGTTCTTCCAACGTGATACCCTGGAAAGATTATGTAAGTAACTGGAAAAAGTTCCATTTCTGAAGTGTCTCGGTAAGAAAAGGTAAAGCTTTCTTCCTGTGGGAACAGCAAGAGCAAAGCTCTGGAAAGGTGCCTCTGCTGGACTGTTCTTCAGAGGGTGCAGGAGGACAAACCAGGCTTCAGGTTTGCTTTTCCTCATTCACAGAAAGCTGTGGGTCCAAGGAGTTTATATCCTCAGGAGGGTAGCACTTCTGGCACCAAGCTTCTGACAAGATGAAGGTCTCTTGGAATTTTCCTCTACTTAAGAGATTTCCAATGTGGGCTTTCCTATGGGTACAAAGCTGTTAGGATTCCACGTACAGGTGAAGCTGTTCGATGCTTCTCCTGTCATTATTATATTCTTTCTGGATGTGTTTGTTTTTGTTTAAATGATACATTTGAAGCCATCTGGTTATGACAACATCAGAGCCCCAGCATACTGTTCATAAACCTCCCACTGCCACCACCCCCTCCCTCAGCTCCCCCACATCTGAAATTTAATTCAAGTTAACTCCACAATCTGGGGCATGTGCTGTCACTGCAGAGATGTCCGTGCCAGTGGAACAGTTGGAGATTTCAATTCCACAAGGATATGGCTTATTTATCAAAACAATATTTCAGGCAAGTAGTTTCACAGAACCTTTGGAGTTGCAGTTTCAGGTCCAAATAGCATATCTGGCATCATTCCTCAGCTCCCCTCCTTCCGTATTGTCAGCCCCCCTGTATCTGGCCATCCCTGGAGAAATTTTCCCATTCCTTATGTAGAGTGAACCTCTTCTGTGTTGTTATTAGGCCTCTAAACACCTTTATGGGGTTTAACAATTTAAGTAAGAGATGCCTCTCTTTTCCTTATCACTGCTAAATCTGCTGGCCTTTTAGATCTTTGAAGAGAACCCTCTTTTTTTTTTCTTTTTAGATTCCAGCCAGGGACATCAAGATTATTTCTTAGGCCCAAAGATTTCTGGCTTGACCACCACTCCACATTCATTTTTTAAATCTGTTGTGGATTCTCCATATTGTGTGAGCCTGTGCAGATGAAAGGAAACAGCTTGTGTGTTTATGAGCAGAACAACAAATGGGGGCAGGCGGCGGAGGACGTTGAACTGCACTTTGAAACTGACTGTTGCTTTGTTCTGGCTCTTCAACTCTTACAAAAGAACAGAAACTAAATCCCCGCAACATGACCGTATTGGATCCTTCAGTTTATCTTTGTTAAAGACAAATTCTTGGCTGGAGCCCAAACATATTTTCCACAACTAATTATCTTTTTAATCAGCCTGAGCCCCATGTGTTTCCTTTATCTCATGACTTTTCACTGAACTCTGGCCTACATCATTTAGATTCATTTCTAATGGCTTGCTTGCTAATCCAATATTCAGGTGAGTATCGTCACACTGTTCTTTATGTATGTTGATGCACAAACGTGGATGTGTTTCCCCCCCTTTTAATTTCAGAGGTTGACTGCGCCACATTGGGGCCTTTGACCCCATAGGTGGATGCCTTATGGAGACAGTGAGCAAGGAAGCAAGTGCAGGATGATCAGTATTTGGGATAATGAGCTGGGAGAACCAGAAGCTTTGACCTGCAGATGAGGGTGGCAACTTGAATGTTGTTGACTGATGGGATCTTTATGCTGCTGAGCCATTAGCAAGATGATCACTCCCCCTCTGTAAATCCTGTCATGCTGGAGTGGAAGGTGGCATCTGGAATGGTTCTGATTCCTGCCGCTCGAGGAAAAAGAATTTTCGACTTGAGGGAATTCAGTACAAGCAACACAAATGATTAAGGAGTTGAAGGGGATCGACTCTAGGGGAAAAAACATTTTGCAGATAAAATATGCATAACTCAGGTAGGGGAATGTCGCACCAGGACCTGTAGTTTACAGATCTCACAGGAGTTCTGAATGCTGGCCGCCTTGTCTTGTGCAGCTCCTGTTCACTTCAACTGTACAGCTTGGGAAGGTGATAATGTAACATCCTCAAGGTCACTCAACCTGGCTCTGAGCCAAGAAGCAACAGCAGGCAAAGGAATAGCTTTGGGGCTTAGGCTGGAGGACCAGAGAGAAAGTGAAAATCGAAGAGTTTGCCTGACAGTGAAGTGGACACCCTGGCTCAAAGCACTGAGCTGAAAAGGGGCGAGCGTTAGCCCGATTAAGACCCTAGCATGCGAGCTCTTGATAAACTGAAGGGGAAAAAGGGACCCCCACATAGTTCATGGTTTCATGTCTCAGGGAACAGGCATCCAGAGAAGAGAGATGACTGATCCAGGTCACGGAGATTAAAATTCAGGCCACCGATTGGGCAAACGATGCCTGAGCACCTAGAAGGTGCCAGACGCTGTGCTAGGTCAGGACTAAGGCGGCAAGTAGCATTTCCACTCTTCTAACCTGGTCTCACAGATGAGGCCGGGCAGTGGCCCACAGAAACAAAGCCAAGAGTTCACAGCACTGAGGGCTGAAAAGTAGTAAGGAGGTCAGTGGCTGGTTACCTTAGAGCAGTTTCTGTCAAAGAGTGGAGGCCAAAGCCAAACTGATGAGAAAGGAAGCAAACATAGCTTGAGTGTAAGCTCCTCTTTCCGGAAGTCTGGCGGGCAGAGAGGAAGGGACTCTCCCACCCACTCTTAAGAATTTATGTCTCAATTTAGTCAACATATTTATTTTTGTCTAGAAGTAATGGTGTACAGGTTGTTCCATAAAACCAGACACTTTAGTAATTGATATTTGTAATAAGTCATGTTTATATAATAATTGTACCTTCAGATTGAGAAAGAAAACAATCACCTTCAACCCTTACACAATTTTGAGAATGATTTCCTAAAGACAGACACACATTTCTGCACTTTAACCTATCCCTCTTCCAAGTGAAAAAAGTTTGCTTCACATCTACTGTAGATGCTTGAAATGTTTTTGTGGGCAGTGGTTTCGTTCAGGGATGTGCTACGAAAGGTATAGCGGTCAGTTCCTCAAAATGTAAGTCCTGATGGGGAGCATTTACCAGTTTACGTGGTGTAGATACTCCTACGATGGCCTATGCCAAACCTGAAGATGACATTAACTGGGTGCGGAGCTGGAAGGGGATTTGCAGCTCACCATCGTCTAGTACTTCCGCCGTACAGATACAGAAGATGGGTGTAACCTCAAGCCACAGGCAGTAGTAAAGCATAATTAGAAAGAGATGAATTTTGAGTATTTATTACCATTGCTGTTAATTGTACACTGGTACAATTTAATTTTTAATTGGCCGCTTAACAACCAGCTCTCAAAATTCCTGGAAATTTAACGATTGGCTCTGTAGAGCCGGTGCGAACCGGCCCCAGCACACCACAGGTGTGGTTTCACATTTGTCCTCCAACATCTGTGAGCTTCATTATTTCCTGTTATCTGGCAGCACTTTAAAATGCACCTACTACTTTTAATGGTGAAATGAAGTACTGCCTTTTTGGAAGTTTATAGATAGATTGACATTGATACATGAACCGGTAGTCATACATTTTAACCTCTCTGAGTAAATAAACATTTTTATTTCTGTCTCTTACTAGTGTTGGAAGTGTTTCTTTTCATTGAAACACTAATGAAAAATAGGCATATCCTCTGACACATTATCCCATGTAATCTTTAGTCATTCCAGAGAACGTGGTCTCCACAGTGTATCCTTCATGCCCCCATTACCTCTGAGCAAAAGCTAAAGGAAAGGGCATTTGAGCATGATCAACATGAACATACCAATGGGTGATCCCCAGGGTCTCCTACACCCACCGATATTTAAGAACCTTGCCTTGGTTTGGCCTTTTAAGAATGAATTTTTAGAGCTCTTTCTGTTTTCTTTACTGAAAATTCATTTATACATTCCATATATGTTGTGCCAGGAACTGTGCTAGTATCTAGGGATAAACAGTGAGTAAAACGAAC